GCTTTGCTGGATAAAGGATTCTTGGGTGGCAATTTTTTTCTTTCAGAGTTTTATATATGTCTCCCCAATTGACTTCTTGCTTGCATGGTTTCTGTTGAGAGATCTGAGCTTAATCTGATTTGCTTGCCTTTGTATGTTATACTTCTCTTTTTCCTAGCTGCTTTCAGTATTCTCTCCTTATCTTTGATTTTGGAGAGCTTGATTAGTATATGTCTTGTTAATTGTCTTCTTTTAGGGTCTGTCCTTCCTGGGGTTCACTGAGCTTCTTGAATGTTTATATTTTCACTTTTCAGGATGTTAGGAAAATTTTCTTCCAGAAGCTCTTCAACTATCTCCTCTGTGGACTTGTGTGATTCTTCCTGTTCAGGAATATCGATAATTCTTAAGTTATTCCTCTTCATGTTATCCAACATGAATTTTAGGCCTTCTTCAGATTTTTTTAAAATCCTTTTTTATATTTGCTTTTCTATCTTAATAGTGTTGAGAGATTTATCTTCTAGCTCACTAGTTCTGGCTTGTAACTCTTCAGTTCTACTCCTTTGCTCTTTCAATGTATTGCCCATTTCTGATATTCTATTATTAATTGTTTGGACCTCTTTCTGTAGGTTTTGAATTGTTTCCAATGCTGTATTTATTTTATTTTATTGTTCCTGTAGTGCTTTCATTATTTTTCTCAACTCCATTGTATAGTGTTTTGATACATTTTATAATCATTTTTCTGTATTCCTTCTCAGGCATTTCCAAAGCTTGCCCGTCTTCCAGTATGGAGTGTAGGTCTACTTCCAGCTCATTTGCCTCAGTCACTCTATCTCGTTTCTGGACACGTGCTGATATGGTCATCTGCTTCTGTTTTTTGGGCAACTTCAGGGGTTATCTGTGGCCTTAATACTTACATGGGCTTGTATTTTGATATTTTTTATGCTTTCTGATTGCCTCCAGGTAGACGTGATCAGGAGATGTGCTTCCCTTTTCACTCTTCTTCCTGAGAAATTTCAAGATGCCACCATTGGTCGTTGTAATGTAACTCAGGATTTAATTTTCAGCCTATTTCCTTTTTAGTCTGCCACTCAAGCTCCACAGTCCCTGTTCAGGCCTTTTTCCTACTGATAAGTAGTTCAGGGTCAGCTGTGAACATTTGGTTTTAAGTGGAAACTGTCACTTTAAATTTCGAGGCGATCTGTGCGCTTGTATAGTAGAACCTGCGGGGTGTGTGGTGTCCACTCAAGCACCCCCTCAAGTCACCCAGAATGGAGATGTGCGTATAGTGAGAGACTAATGAATAGATACCAAAACCCAAGAATATCCACACCTTTATCTCCGTGGTTCTGTAAGGTGTCCGTGGCTGCTCTAATCCTTCCATCGCTTGGTCTTGCCTAAGATGGTGGCTCCAGGAGCAGCTGAGCATCTTGAATTAGAAAGCACTGGATTTCCTACTTTTGCTACAAATCCCCCTAGCTGTAAGCCTTCCAACCTTCTAAATATTCCTTTATATGTGGTTCAGAGCTCTGGCACCATCCCCTGAGCCTGCTTGGTCTGATATTCTGTGTTGTTGCTGATGGAGCTCTTTGCTGCACTTCCAATTTACCTACCATCTTGTTTGTTCTAAAATTGACTTTTGATATTTTAGAAACTATCAACGTTTTGCATTTAAAAAAAAATTTTTTTATGTCTTATATGTTTTAAGCTAAGTAACAGCTCCTTTAACTTTGCAAACAGATTTATTTATATATAGGTTTCCCCAGCTGAGACTAGAGCATTCCAATGAAACATTTCATAACCCAAAATTGGCATAAAAAAGTGAAGCAGTGGTTGTTACCATTAATTGTTGTTGTTGTTGTTAAGAGCCGTGGAGTCGGTTCCGACTCATAGCGACCCTGCACAGGGTTTCTGAGGCTGTAAGTCTTTATGGGAGCAGAACGCCTCATCTTTCTCCCGCGGAACTGCTGGTAATTTCGAACTGCTGACTTTGCGGTTCACAACCCGATTCGTAACCACTACGCTACCAGAGCTCCTTAATTATATGGGAAAATTTTTGAGCATCCCTAGACCCCCCAAAAACATATTAAATCATACTAAATAACACCTAAAACTTAAAATTTAGCACTAATATATGTGAAGGAACTTTTAAAAGTTTGTGGAAACATTCCATAGTCTTTTTTTTTAAGTTTTTATTATGAGTGATAGTCTACATGGGAGAATATCAGGTTTACACCATCATTTCATTGCAATGATTACAATCTCCTCCCTGCATCATCATTCAACAGTATTTGCTTGCATTCCCTGTTTTTTTTTTTTTTGGGCGGGAGTGGGCATACACAGAAACACTCAGGAATGTGCAATAATTTATAAACACCCAAAGGGCATATTGTGCAAATCTGCCTCCTGACCGCCAGCTCTCAGTCCCTCTCTTTCCATGAATCTAGAGTCCTCAGCTGCTCCCTCTCTCCATGCCCCCATCTCTGCCTCCACCTCTGGCGTCGCTGCTTCTGTAGATAATGTTCTGCATTCTGCTTGTGCTCATCTCTCTTGATGGTCTTAGGGTCCTCTGTTTGTAGACTGTAAGATTAACCACTCCCCCGTTTTTGTTACAAAACTTCCGCTTTTACAGTTGTGACAGCTGTAATTGGTCATGATGACAATTGCTATTGAATCAACATTCCATAGTCTTTTAATTCAATTTTTCTATGAATTTTTTGAAGCCATCTTAGACCCACAGTTCAGAGTTATAGTGCTTGATGCTGTGCTGCTGAGTGTTTTTCCTGGGGGAGGAGCTGCCTCCTTAAAGGCTCCCTGTTAAGCAAAGGCTGAATGCTAGTTTTGTCTTTTTTTGTAAAGCTAAAACCAAAAACTTTGGATGTCTTTTGGTTGTTGAAAGCAGGTGTACTAATATAGGTTTGTTTGTTTTTAAAGCTAAGTGGCATAAGCAAACTTACAAAAAGTAGGTGATATCGGAACTCTTTTTATAACTAGTTCATAATTTTGACCTGTTTGTTTATTCTTTCAGCTATTTTCTATTAAACCACTTGGAGTCAGGCAATGAGAAGGCTCAAAATATGTGAGGAAGGAAGTTTTAAAATAAAATAGGGAGAGCTGTTGTGTAACAAAAATTGTGTAAGCATGATCCAACATGTAAATGGTCAGTATTTCAAAGCTCTTCTACATTTATTCATCTTTTCATAAACACTATTACAATAAACATGGATCTAGTATATAATCTTTCCAAACTTTTTATCTAATTTCCCCTTCTAAAATCTTCAGCTCAACCTATAAACTTTTTAAATCAATCTTGCAAAGAATGTAACTTTAAGACTATCTGGAAAACAGTGCATCTGCTGTGGTTTAAATGCCCTACCTTGCCTTAAGAACACTATATTTGGATTATATTCATTTACATTCACTTTAAAGGAGAGCATTTAGAATAATTACAGCCTGACTGACAGACATGAGGCTTGAGTACCAATAAATAGAAAATAAATGTTAATTAATTTGGAAATCAGTAACTTGAAAACAGCTCTAACAAAGAGTTTACTATCAAATTAGCTGAAAAGGAGAATTGGCATTTCTAATTACTGGACTAATAGAATATATGAAGTAAAATTTTAAATATGAAAAATGCTAAGCAAGTGATTAAGAAGAAAAATTACAAGGTAGGTAATATTATTTCATGGTAAGAGAAAACTTAGTTTCAATTTTTTCTAATTTGGTCAATTTACTTAGCTACTCTGACTTCATTTTCTTAATTTGAAAAACAGGAAGAATATGTCTGCCTTAGAGGATTGGTGGTGGCAATTGATATATAAGGATTGGAAGTAGGATTTGTTAAGTACCTGGTATAATGTCTTGTCACATAGTAAGAAGTCATTATTGCTACATACAAACTAAAAGAAGGTTTAAAACATCATTTGTAGCTGAACCACTGATATCCTAATCATAAAATCAATCTTCAGTGAGTCTAACCTGTTCTCACAGGTAATCCTTGGATTATTAACAAGTTCTATTACTAACTCTTTTTTTAAGTTGAATGTGTACATAAGTCAGTATGGTTTGTATCAAACATCAGTTAGACAGCTGTTGGCCTTCTTATTTGAGTGTAGTATATAGTGTACACCTCTATGCCTGTAAGACATTCAAGAAAGACGTTCAGCTACACGGAAGCATCTTTGATATAGCACTGGTGGTGGTGGTGATGTGTCATGGAGTCGGTTCCTACTCATAACGAACCTGTGTAGGGTTTCTGGGGCTGTGAATCTTTACAGGAACAGAAACTCTCATCTTTCTCCCATGGAACCACTGGTAGTTTCGGACTGCTGTCCTTGAGATTAGCAGCCCGACTCATAACCACTATGCTACCAGAGCTCTCCAGGACACTACAGATGAGCAGATATAGGCACTTTGTTATTGTTGTTGTTAAGTGCCCTTGGGTCCAATTCATAGTGATCCTGTGTAAGGTTTGGGAGGAGAAGCTGGTGAGTTTGAATCCCCGATCTTGTGGTTCAAACTGACCTTGAGGTCAAGTGCTTTATCTCACAGTGCCACATTCTATTGTTGTTGTTAGGTGCCATCGAGTTGATTCCGACCCATAGCGACCTTATGCACAGTAGAACAAAACACTGCCCGATCCTGGGCAAACCTCACTACTGTTGCTATATACTATAGATGAGCAAAAATAACAAAACATAATCTGTCATGCAACAATGATAACTTCTACCACCAAGCCTATTCATTTCCATAGTGTCCTATAAGACAGAACAGAAGAACTACCCTATAGGGTTTCCAAGGCTTCACAGAAGCCTTTGAAATGATTTCCACAAAGTGACCCTCTATCTATTCACATGGTTGTTGTCTAGCCGATGATATGTGCTAATTTGGTCAGCAATACCACCTGTGCTTTAATGGGGTTTTCATCATTGTTATAAATTCAAGAACACTATTAATGATTGGGGAAGACATGTATATCAATTTTTTTTCCCCTTACATTGAAGTTTTTACTTTCTTTTCAGGCATGACAGCAGTTATCTGTACTTACCCTCTTGACATGGTTAGAGTCCGCCTAGCATTCCAGGTGAAAGGGGAGCACACTTACACAGGAATTGTTCATGCATTTAAAACAATTTATGCAAAGGTATTTCCTGTTCACCTTTCTCTTCTATCAAATGTCCTTTTATATGTAGGAAACTGTTCCCTAAATAATTACTATTTTATTTATAGTATTGGTATTAATAATTGTGAAAGCTTACCATTGTATTTCATTGTGGATGTCAGGATAATGTTTTCATTATAATGTGTGCTTTGGGTCTTAATGATTATCATAGTGAACACATTGTAATTTCACTTCTAATTTTCCTTCACTCTTAAGGAAGGTGGTTTCCTTGGATTTTATAGAGGCCTGATGCCTACTATCTTAGGGATGGCTCCATATGCAGGTAGGTTTCAAATTTGCTGGAATAATCCTGGCTTGTATTGTTTAAAATGTTTCATCAGAATTTTTTCTGAAATAGTAGGTTTACTTAAGAAAGGATGATGATAAAATTATGCTTCATATGTGGTTTTAGAATACTGTCTTGTATATAAAGATGACTGAACTCATGTTCAGTCAATAGGAATGTGCTTTTAAATAATTTTCTTAATATCTGAGACAGCTGTAGTCTTATTAAAAGTTACTATATGGCTGTTAAGAATTTCAGTTTTTAGAAATGTATTAATTAAAAATTTAAGTTGAAAATATTTTTCACCTTTCATTATAACTAGTCAAAATTCATGGGAAATTTCAAAAATAAATTCAAGTATAAGAAATAATTAAGGATATTCATAATCCTCTAATATAGCCACTATTACAGTATTCATATTTATTCATTTAAATTATTAAACTTTGTATTTTGAAATAATTATAATAGGCAGTTGTAAGAAATAATAAAGGGATCCCATGTTTCCTAATGGTAACATTTTGCAAAACTAGTACAATCAATATCTGAGTCCTGATATAGTGATGTAGGATACACACTGGATTGCTAGTTGCAAGGTCAGCGGTTCAAACCCAACAGCCTGTCCTTGGAAACCCTATAAGGGTCCTTATGAGTTGGAACTGACTTGACAGCACATAAAATAATTTGAAAGTACTAGTTCATAATCAAGATATTGTCCTTGATACAGTTTACATACAGAACAGTTGTCACCACAAGGATCCCTTCTGTTGACTTTTTTAGGCACACCTTCTCTGACCCTTTTCCTAACCCGTAGCAACCACTGATCTGTTTCCCATTTCTTTAATTTTCTGATTTCAAGTAAGTTGTTTACAGTTATGCATGCAACTTTTGGGGTTGACTTTTTTCATTCAAGATCCATCCAAGCTGTGTTGTGTATCAATGCTTTGTTCTTTGTTCATTGTTCCATATCATAGTTTTATATAAATAACACATGTTGAATGTTTTTTTTTAAACCACACCTTCCCCCAATGTATGTTCACAAGGACACTGGTGGTTTTTTTTTTTTTCAGTCTGTGTTTTTATAAGAGCTTATGCATTTCTTCTAGGTTTTCAATCTATTGGAGTACAATTCTACATATTATTCTGTCATCTTTTTATTTCCATTGGTTTGGTGTAATGTCACCCATATGGTTTCTTTTTTTTTTTTTTTAGTTTTTATTGTGATAGTTTACATGGGAGAACATTAGCTGTATACTGTAGTTTTGTTGCAGTGATTACAATCTCCTACGTGCATCATCCATTTGCTTCCATTCCCTCTGGGGTTTTTTTGCTTTGTTTTGTTTGGGGGGGATGTACACAGAAACACTCAGGAATATATAATAATTTAAATAACCAGAGGGCACATTCTGTAAGCCTGCCTCCTGGCTGCCAGCGCCTAGCCATACTGTCGTAGTTTTTTAAACATGTTTTACCTTCTTTGGGAGAGAAGGCATGGTTGACAAAAATTTATAATGCATGTTATTTGTTTAAAAATATGGCAGTATTTCATTGTTTGGATGTAATGAAGTTTGTAATCGTTTATGTTTCTAGTATTCACCCATGTTGTGATGCTGTAGGATATGCACTGAATGACAGTGTTCATTGAACTGCAAGGTCAGTGGTTCAGACTCACCAGCTGGTCCTCGGAAACCCTATACAAGCTCATTATGAGTAGGAACTGACTCCACAGCACTTACCAACAACAACAACATACCTAGGAGAGAAGTCCTGTTATTGGGCTGTAGGATAAACACTGGATGCTAGCCATAAGGTTGGCAGATCAAACCCACAGGCCACTCATTGGAAATCCTAGACAGGATCTCTAGGAGTTGGAACCAACTAGATAGTACATAACAACAACAACAGTGTATCTAGGATAACTGCTGGTTTATAAATGACATCCATATTCAGTTTTATTGTTGTTAAGTGCTATTGAGTCAATTCCAACCCATAGCAACCCTTTGTAGGATTTACAAGGAGCAGCTGGTAAGCTTGAATCGCCGACCTTGCAGTTCAAACGACTTTGCAGTCTGGCACATTAACTCACAGCACCACACCAGGATAGGGGCAAATTGATTGAAGGTGGTTGCATTTGTTCGTACATTAACCAGCAGTGGTTAAAAATTCCAATTGATCCTCATCTTCTCCATCCACATTGGTATTAGCTGATTTTTAAATTTGTTGAAATTTATTGGATTTATAAAAGATAGCTCATAAGATCTTATTTTGCATTTCCCTGACTACTAATGACGTTGCCCACCATTTTGTATCTTTATTCACCAGTCTTTTTCTATAAATTATCTGTTTCTGCATGTGGTTGACTTTTGTACTGATTTGTTTATCTTTTTCTCATTGATTTGCCGTAACTTTATATATTCTGGTTGAAAATAGATTGAAAATATCTCATCCTTGTTTGTGGTTTGGTATTTTCATTTTGTAATGTCTTAATAAACAAAAATTCTAATTTTAATGTGCTTGAATTTGTCACTCTCTTCTTTTATGGATAATGCTTTTTGTGTGAGGTTTCCTTTTTTCTGAAGATGGCTTTTAATGTTTAGCAATTTACATTTAAGTCCTTAACACATTGTTGTTGTTGTTATGTGCCATGGAGTCGGTTCCGACTCAGAGTGACCCTGCACAGGGTTTCTTAGGCTGTAAATCTTTACGGGAGCAAAAAGCCTCATCTTTTTCCCGTGGAACAAACAGCTGGTAGTTTTGAACTACTGACCCTGAGGTTAGCAGCCCGATTCATAATCACTATGCTACCAGAGCGCCTTCCCTAACACATTAGGTGTTACTTATTTTTTTCCTTAAGGATTACCATCTGAGCCAGCAGTGTTTCTTAAAAGGCTCTCCTTCTCTAGTAATCTGCAATGTTACTTCTAATAAGTCTATAAATTGGTAGTATAAGTAAGTTTCTGTACCGTAAGCATATTTTTTTCAGAAGTGCACATTTTTTAGGATCAACTTTCAATACTAAACAAAAATCCTTGTGGATATTTTGATTGAAGTTTCTTACAAGTCTTGGATACTTTTGTTATAAGTATTTATGTTTTTGTTGTTGTTAAAGTGCCATCGAGCCAATTCCAACTCATAGTGATACTGTATAGGGTTTCCAAGGAACGGCTGGTGAGTTTGAACCACCAATCTTGCAGTTTAAACTGACCTTATGGTCGAGTGCTTATCCTACAAAGACTCCATACAAGTTTTATTATGTCTTTTAGAAAATTACATATTCATTTTATTGCTTGATTAATTTTTTATATAACCTTATAGCTAATTAGAGTCCCTGGGTCGTGTAAACAGTTAAGTGCTCAGCTGCTGACTGAAAGATTGGTGGTTTGAGTCCACCCGAGGCACCTTGGAAGAAAGACTTGGCAATTTACTTCCGAAAAAATCAGCCATTGAAAAATCCTATGGAAACTGTTCAACTCTGACTCAGGTGATGTCTCCAAGGAATCAGAACCAACTCTTTGGCAAGTGGTACTGATGTGGCAGACTAGTTGTTTTCCTGCTTATAACTATAGCCAGCCACCTCTTTGGGGTTTTTTACACAATCACACCATGTATAAATAGTCATTTTTTTTCATACATTCAGCCCTTAACTGTCGATGTTTATCTCATGTTACTGGTGTTCTGGTGTGGCACTCTAGGATAAGCACTGGGCTGCTAATCATAAAGTTGGCAATTCAAACCCATCAACCCCTCCTTGGGTTGCTGTGAGCTGGAACTAACTTCAGGGCACTTAACAGCACCTTATGTTTAGCTGTACTGGCTAAGGACCTATAGCAGTAGTGAGTAGAAATAATGATATTGAGCATTTTGGCTTGGTCCTGATTGTTGAAAGGCATGTTTCTAAGACTTCATCTAACAGTGTTTACACTAGTTTTTATCATATACCATTTATCAGGCTGAGGAAGTTTTTGTAAGAATTTTTATCTGAATTGGTTAGGTACTGAATTTTATCAGATTATCTTTTCTGTATTTATTGAGATGATCATTTGGTTCCCTCCTTTAATCTGTCAATATGATGAATGATATTAATAGATTTTATGTTAAACCTAAATTTAGGTTCAACCTAAATCAGTTATGAGATATGATCTTTTTATACCCTACTGGATTTGAGTTGCTAATTGCTTTTAGAAATTTTACGCTATATTCATGAGTCAGATTAGCCTATAGTTTCCTTTCATAATTTAATAAATATTCATGAGTTGTTTTGGTATCATAATCTCATAGGATGAGTTGAAGAGCATTTCTTCTTTTTTTTTTATTTTCAGAAACATGATTATAATGATCTGTTTCTTAAAAGTTTTCATTGTGGGATCACTGAAAAAGTTTTCATTGTGAGATTAATAAATTCATGTAAAAATGGAATCAAAAGATAATGAAATTTTCCCACAATGTTTTTAAACCTCTTGTGTAAATATTTAGCCAATTCCAACTTCATACTATTAATAACCTAACTTGCTTTTTATTGGACTCCTGATGTGGCACTGTGAAATCAGCACTCGACTGTGAACCACAGGTTGGCAGTTCAAACCCACGAACTGCTCCTCAGAAACCCTGTACAAGGTCGCTATGAATTGGAGCTGACTCGATGGCACTTAACAACAACCACAACTATTTATTAGCTACTACGTGACTTCTAAGTATTTCTATAATGATCGTAAATCTTTAAGACAAAATTCGACAGTGAGTTAAAGTAGCAGTGATTTACCATTTAAATTTTTTTTGTCTCTGTCTTATATAGCACCATTTTTGTTATTGCTAATATGTCATATTTATTTATAGTTACTAATCATGAATTTTAGTAACACAGGATCTTAGAAACTTATTTAATTGTATTCATATATAAAGTGGTATTATACGTACTACTGCTTTTTCCAGTGCACTGAGCTATATTTCAGTGTGTGAAAACCAATGCTATAATGTTCATAAGTGATAAGTTTGTTATCTTTTGGTTACTTATATGCACTAATTAAAACTTTTTATTGTATATAAAGCCAAAAAATCAGGTATCAGGAAATCCATAATTAGTTTCTTGAGTTAACTGATTTCTTATGAACTTTTTCTTACAGTTTTATTATGCATCCTGATAAATTTACATTTTGTTTTTTAGGTGTTTCATTTTTTACTTTTGGCACCTTAAAGAGTGTTGGGCTTTCTCATGCTCCTACTCTTCTGGGCCGACCCTCATCAGACAATCCTAACGTCTTAGTTTTGAAAACTCACATAAATTTACTTTGTGGTGGTGTTGCCGGAGCAATAGCACAGACAATATCGTAAGTGTCTTTATCAAATTCATCTGTTCAAATTACAGTGACCCAGTCTGGGTTTCCATCATTAGTAATCTTTTGATTTTTCCTAGTAGACTGTTCTAAAAACAGGACCCCTTTATAGAATACAGGTATGAATTGAATATACATTTTTTTCCAGATGTGCCTAAAGTTTCATCATAGTTTAAATAAATATGTGCCACATTAGTTTGAACCCACTCCTGTTCTTATAGATCCATTTGAGGTGACAAAAAAAAAAAAGAAGGCAGGGAAAAAGCACTAAGTATTGTCTTAATTCATATTTCCTTATATATTTGCTTATATGAAGCTTCTGAAGTTTGAGTCAATTTGAGTCTGTGTATGTGAAGAGTCATAACCTCTCTTTCCTCTTGTTATTCTTTACACAATCCAACCATTCATTAAATGTTAAAGGCCTAATGCATTCCAGACTGTGTACTCAGCATTGGGAGATTCACAAAGGCACCGCCATCAAGAAGCCTACACTCTTACTAAGACTGTAACAATACAGTAAGATGAAACCCATGGATGTCCAGGTGATTCTAGCTCACAGTGCCCCTGGAGGACAGAGTCGAACTGTCCCATACAATTGCAAACGCTGTAAATCTTTCCGAAGCTGACTGTCATACCTTTCTCTCCTGGAAGTGCTGGTAGATTTGTACTTGTGGCCTTTTGGTTAGCAGCTGAGCATTTAACCACTGTGCCATCCGGGCTCCTTCAGCACATAGTTTATGAGAATTATTCAGAAAGTATTGCTACTAGGCTACCAGTTCATACACACCAGGTTTATTAAAAAAAAAAAAATTTGTTGAAACAAGTCTCTGCAATCAGTGGATGGCTACAGATAAGTTCCCTCTGTAACACAGTAGTCTCATTCTCATTAAGGAGTCCTGGTGTGGAACTGTGGGTTAATGCGCTAGACTGAAAAGTCAGTTTGAATCGCAAGGTTGGCGATTCAAGCTCACCAGCTGCTATAGAAAACCTATACAGGGTCACGACTCAACAGCATATAACAACAGTCTCATTAGGGTGCCTTCCCAAAAAAGGCCTGGTCAAAACAGCGACTTCTGAGGGGATCTGCAGGGCTAGTTAAATCTAAGGCAACCAGGTCAGCTCAGAAGGATATAGTGACTATATTTTTGGATTCCAAAAGCTAATCTTTTTTTTTTTTTTTAATTGTGAATTGAGTGAAGGTTTACAGAACAGATCATCAGTGCCGTATTCAACAAATTATACACTTGTGTCATTACAATGATTACAATCTCTTCCATGTACCATCAGTTAATAGTACTTACCTCTATTCACTATATTTTTTTCCTTCCCTCCCAACCCTCACGAATGTTTCATTTGACAAGAAAATCTTTTCTTAACTTCATACAACACTGTTTTTGTGTTATATTTATCCTTTTGTGATCTACAAATTTCATTCATAATAATCATTGCTGATGTCCGATGGATGTTGGCTGAAAGCAGAGAATATCAGAAGGATGTTTACCTGTGCTTTATTGACTACGCAAAGGCTTTCGA